TTTTTGCTCCCCTAAGAGGAAAACGATCACTCCGTCAGAGCCCTTAGTTTTATTAGCAAAACCAATCTAAGACATCCTACAGACAACAGGCGCTGGAATTTCAAATGGTTGAATGTGTTAGCTTCACAGGACGATCTACAACAGACGGACTGGGAGGTTCACCCTCAACTTTACGTGAATACTCATTGAGATTTCTTAAAGCCATCTGTTCCGCTAACGGTCTCCAATATAAACAAACACCCCACAGTCATCTGGAATCGCACTGCCCCAAAAGGTACTACTAGTAGGAATACAAACGAACTGGTAACAACAACGCATACAGACAATTAAAATAGTACGTAATATATGCACAAAGGCGATAGAAGAAGACAGGTTTCAGTACTAGAATAGGCTTATGGATAAGTTTGTCTCCAATCCGAAAAGATAATCCCATCATGAAGTCTTTTCTCGACAAAACAAAACTAGAGTTTCCAACTGCTAGGTCCTAATGGCCCGACCAACGACAGAGGTGACGTCGCTAACTCTCTGGCAGAACAGTACTCTCCGAAAATTTAACAGACCCGCACCAACGTTATTGATGAAACCTTCACCTGAGACCTCACAGGAATCACAGTAGTGAACCTGAGTGCTGACTTGATGTACCGGAAACTGCGGCACTTAAGAAAGACCCTTTTCCTGGCCGAGATATGTTCCATTCTGCTACTCTGAGGGAAGTAGCTTCAATGTTGGCAGCACTGCTTGGAGTGATGTTCTCAAATTCACTAGTTTCAAGGCTGGCTCACATCACACCAATTTTCAAAGGGGGTTGACACAGCAAAACTTCAAGTTATGGATCAGTGGTACTTCTCTCTATACCCCCGAAAATTCCAGAGTCCATGAAATATGACGGTGTACACGACTACTTAATATCCATAAACTTGTTTTCACCTCGACAGCACGATTTTAGAAAAGGTCACTCTTGTATAACTAACCTGCCGGCTGCAGTGGACAGTTGGACGACCATCTTTGGTTGCAAGGGGCGGGGTTGACGCCATTTACCTTAACTCCTGAAAGCTTTTGGTGGGGCCAACCATATATGTCTTACCAATAAGCTCAAACGGTTAGGTACCAAATCTCATTTAGTAGAGTGGATCACTTCATATCTAAGAAGTCGACATTTTAAGATCAGGCTTATTTTCAAATTACCTCAAGCTATGGAATGTCGTAGTGGGGTCCGTCAGGGTTCAGTACTAGGACCTCTTCTTATCATGATTTATATAAACGATCTTCCACAGGAGTTATCGTAGGATTTATTAATTTTCTCTGATGTTTTGGAACTCTGGGGATTATTGTGCAACTAAGAGGACGGATGTTTCCTTCAGGAGGGTCTGATTCGACTTCAAAGTTGGGCAGATAACAGCGGACTTACCTTTAACACTTCAAAGTTTAAAGTAACCCATCTGAGACATGTCGTACACATGTTGCAGGTGTAGATCACCAACGTAGATGATCTATGTCGAAATGATTGGAGGCCTACTCCAGTTAGACGTGAATGGTGTGACGAACCAACTAACGTCGAAGTCACACCTCGTGGTCAGCACCTTACGTGGACTACCCCCATTGACGTAACAAGGTACTATAGATGCTTTGAAGACTGTACAACACAAAGGACGTTATTACAGAAATATATTAGTTAAGGTAGATACAGGCGAAAGTAAGACCACTGCCGCATGGGCCAGTCCATGGCGTATGATTAACTAATGCGCGTTTGTAGTACATGACCTTGGCAGGGAGCGACGATCTGTTCGACATTCAGTGATCCAACTGCCGGATGATTTGGCTAGGGCTCAGTGACATTTCACTGGCCCTACAATACTCCCCCACCAGATTCAGCGGCCGTTTGAATCGGTACCAAACATGTTGGGAGCAATCGCGCGCCGGAGAGTGCCAAACGAATATTATAAATTCTCCAGGTATTGCTTATCTGTAAAACAAATGGAAAGGAGGCGGCAGAAACTGGTCGGGAAACAGCGAGTCATAATATGTTAGTAGGACGTTGCTTAAACGTAAATTGATTAACCATAGAAATAATGAAAAGAACAAAGCGTTTAACTGTTCTATCAAGTCGCGCTGAAATATATAGCTTTGACAAGCAATTCAGTTCCTCCGATGACGAACGTTAAGTCTGCCGCAAGAGTAATGATGCTATAGCGATAGTAGGATAAGTGTATTATCAATCGATATCCATATTTGTACTGTCATTAGTTTAAAGTTGTAAGTCGGACAGTGTCGTTGACAGCTATTAATTAGTGTCGAATTCTAGTTATATCTATATCTAACAGACTAACCGTAAGTACAGAAGTATAACAGTGAAGAGTGGTCGTTATTTCGTTGTGCGAAGCTATTGACCAACTTGTAGTCACAGTTTGAAAAGTCGATGACTGCTGTTACAGCCAGTAAGGGTTGAAGGCTACAAATCCACAGCAAAGGTGGCACGATGAAGTCTCTAAAAGATGATAAACGGTGAATGCTGCGTGTTTGTTCGGTTAGTGAACAGAAAAATATCGAAAAGAACATAAGAAACCAAGAGTGTCACTCTGGACTCATGTCAATGATACCCGTGAAAAACGCTGTCAGTGTTGGGATAGAGGCGACAATATCGTTTTCAGTTTGCAGGAGATTCGCTCGACTGCATAAACTGATGATTCGCGCGAATGATATTGTCGTCAGACCACCAATTGAACTGGACAGGTTGTAAATCGTCGAGTAGTTGAACAGCCGATTGATGTACCGAAATCATCTGTTAAATAGCAGACACGAGGAAACAATGCTTCATAAAATAAAGTACGACATCGAAGTAGAATAACTACAATAGTTCAGATGTGTTACAATGTCAAGTCTAAATAACATCGTTCTTACGTATACTGACAGTTGCACTGAACGTTCGTTTAGGTATTATTAGCGTAACTGTTGGATGTGTGAATAAAAGCATATACGAAAACTACGGTTGGGTTCGTGGAGAATTTTCGACGACGTTTAGATATTTTCCAAACCCGTATCGCATGTAAATAAACCGAAAATAGAATTAAAATGACTGTCGTGTAATAAAGAAATCGAGCCATGATTTACCGTGTGAATTAATAGCAAATACAAGGGGTATAATAAACATTAATTAAAATGGTAACCACCAATGTAACTAAGGTTTAGAGGGTCCAGGTAACGTGGCCATTTCGTAAAAGGCTGATACAAAGAGCTTATTACCTAGCGTTAAGTGACATATTAAGTACGACAACGTGTGTACTTGGGACATGGACTAAGCGTGCTCGTGTACATGCAATATGTTTTACCACAGTATATCGACTAACGAGTCATAAATGTACATGATTTCGACTAAAACTTGACGGCAGTGACAGAATATATGACTAGTTTACGTGAAAGCAACTACGAAATGTTATCACGCATCATAAATATAGTACGAAATAATCTAATGAAATTATGAAACTCGCCTGGGTTAATCTTGCCTTTAAGTAATGAAGTAGGCAGTAGTTTGAATCTGGATTATGTACGAGGTACTGTTAATTAAATTTTTCGATTAACACAGTGTTGTAGACTGATTTTTTTTTTTTTTTTTTTTTTTTTTTTTTTTTTTTTTTTTTTTTTTTTACGAACAGTCTAAACGAGATCTAAGATCGCAGGAAATTTATAGTTCAAACTCACCGTGAATTTCTAGCATTCGTATCCTCTGTTTGGCCATGGAACTCAGCAATTGGAAATTAGGCAGGCAGTGGTAAAAAAAAGCAGAACATTCTAGTGGATAGTGGTTAAGCAGAAAGATGAATTTATAGTCGATAGTTAATCTTGTCTTATTTATACCAGTGGATAAGTTACAAACAGATGTGCGTTCGTGTTGCCTTGTGGCTATACTGACGAGTGGTTGATATTTTAACAGACATATTACACAGGAGCATTTACATGCTGCTAATGCTTGTTAAAGAACCGCGATAGCCGATTATAATCGTAGCTGATTGGTTAGTTCTGTCGATTGAACTAAGTATTTAAGTTTAAATACTAATCAACATTGACATGAAGTAACGAAAGTTCACAGTGATAGATTAACATAGGCGATGATAAAAATGAAAAAGAATAAGTATAGAATGCAATAATAAAGATTATAGTGATAGGTTGCGTTATTCGAAGTCTTGCTCACCAGTGTAGATCACCAACGTAGATGATCTATGTCGAAATGATTGGAGGCCTACTCCAGTTAGACGTGAATGGTGTGACGAACCAACTAACGTCGAAGTCACACCTCGTGGTCAGCACCTTACGTGGACTACCCCCATTGACGTAACAAGGTACTATAGATGCTTTGAAGACTGTACAACACAAAGGACGTTATTACAGAAATATATTAGTTAAGGTAGATACAGGCGAAAGTAAGACCACTGCCGCATGGGCCAGTCCATGGCGTATGATTAACTAATGCGCGTTTGTAGTACATGACCTTGGCAGGGAGCGACGATCTGTTCGACATTCAGTGATCCAACTGCCGGATGATTTGGCTAGGGCTCAGTGACATTTCACTGGCCCTACACAGGCTTCAACTACAACTGAGGTGGCCTCCTTTAAGAATATCTCTTGTTGAGAAAGATCCAGGAGTGTTTGCACCCTGAGATCTAAATCTTTACGCTAACTTACGCAAACCTCACCATCTGAACTATTTGAAGTGACCCTTTGTAGGTCGCTCATGGCGCAAGGTTTCGTTGTTGTTGATCTTGATTCACGGCATTGTGCTTTCAGTTATCTGACTGTTTTAATACAGCTGCTGTGTTATTACTAATAGTTGTCAATCCTTTTCAGTAACAAGCGTAAGTCTACTTTGTGCCTGCTCAGTTGTCTGCTCACTTAAAACTCACTGTCCTTTCGTCTTCCGGATTCTCTCACGCTACTGGTCACTCTTCCAGTGCATAACATACAACCACGGTAAACACGAATCTGCCAAAGACCTAACTTTACATCGGATGGCTGATGGAAATCACGAATCACCTCCCGGCCATTTAGACTTAGCGGTTATTAATAGAGGTCAGAAAATTATTGATGAATTAAAAAACTCAGACTTTCCTTCGAAATACGCGTACGTTTTCAAAATTCTCATATTTAACACCCTAGACTCTATGCTGCTGTTCTTACTGGCTTTCGTTCAGTTCGTCTGGCAGCTGAATGGTAATTTAAGTCTTGTAATTGTTTCAGGATATCATCCCGCCTAAATGATCCACTTTTCGTCAAAGATTTTGAAGTCGACTTTCATGTACTTCTGAGTCTGGGAGGAAACTTTGAATCGGACGTCTCGTCGTTTTTGTCAGCTGCGCGAGTCGCTTTGGGATGGGACTATGTTTGTGATCATCGGGCACAAATCCCTTTGCTTCATCTGAGAGTAAGTATACTAGATTGAATAGTGATCTTCAGGTCAAACCCCATGATGCACTTTATTTGAAATCCGTTTTCGTGAAATCGTTCGGTCTGTCGATCCCTCTTCTAGTGACTGATGAAAAGCCCCTGGAGTTCTTAGTAAACACGGACACCTCTGTTGTTTGCAAATTTTCCGACTCCAGGATATATACTCTACTTCAAAAGCTTTCAGAAACCTTTCTTGAAAACTTGAAAAAAGGTAAGAAGGCAAAGGATGTCTGAGTATTTCTTCATACTAGTGATCCTTTATAGCATTTAGAACCCTTGATATTTTGGTTCATTAATTTGCTGGGGCTATTAAAAAGAGCTTCTAAGCAACTGTACATCCAACAGAAGCTTCCAAAATCCAGCGAAATCCATTAACCTTTCGATTAGAATCTCCATTGTGTTACCGATTTCGTGGCTGTTCGGTGAACATGCTTTGCTGTGTCGTGATAAACTTCTTCCTGTATAACTATGTCCATGAAATTCCTGTCCTCAAGGTGACCCAAAGGGGTATTTTACCTACAGTAACATCCAGAGAGTAGTACATGAACTGGAACCAGGGAATGTCCTTCAGTAGAAATAGTATTTTTAGCCGATGAAACTTTTTTACCGACTCAACACAGGGTTTGAACATTTCTCAGTATGCATGTTGCACCTGAACTTCAGGCAATAAGGAATAACACTCGTAAAAACGTTTTTTTGAGTAGTCCTCCTTACGTTAGCTCTGTTTTTCAGACCTGTCGGTTTAGAAACAAGTGAGCAGTAATGTTATTTCTGTGGTCGAGTTCTGACTTTACTTGTTTTTAGTTGGACACCATTACTGGAGGTTCAACTTAACCATGAGATTAACCTTAGTAAAGCGACCAGCACAATTTCTTCCTCTGACTATTATGTTTTTGCTTTTGGCCCCTCATCTCTCCAACCAAATTTCCTTTATTTTTAATGTAAAAGTTCAGAATGAAAGGGCACCAAAAACACCAGATCGATTTAAAATAATATTACTGTAAAGAACAAGTGTTTCATCCAATGTAGCGCAGTCGGGTCGTCACGATAGGTAAGTTTAATCGTCAGATAAAGATATTAGCTATGCTTGTAGTACCGAAATAAATAGTGGAGTTTAAAGGATACCGCCTAAATTTTGCTAACAAGCTTTATAACTACATAATCGTGTTGGATACTGTTTACCTTAGCATTGCTAACATATGAACGACGCTACAATATGACTAGTAATCAGTCATTCGTACGCCAGATACATTCAAATTCAGTAGTCATGCTTTAGTTACAAAGTAGAATTGAGTGCAGCCGTTTCCCTAAGTATAGTTAATATTTAATAGGGTTTTGGTTGGTTCAAGTGGTGCACTTTCGTAATTTTGCGTTTCGTTATGCTTTCTTAAACTGATCTTTGTTTCATATAACATTAACTATACTTATCGACCTAAGGTACTTCGTAATATCAGTAGAAAAATGACCCAGTAAATTTTGTTTACTTTCGTGACGCTAAGTGTTTGGTTCCTTCCAATTCTATCCCATCTTTTCTAGCTGACGTAAACGTCTGCGTGGTTTCTAATCCAGGCAAATCAAATTATCCTTTCACATTAGTCAGTGGTATTAATAATGCTGAGAAAAATTCGGTTTTGATTCAACTAATTGAAATGCATTTATCTAATCATTACATTATTAACGAATTCGACCAATCGGTTAATAATCAGTTAAAGTTCTGTTTATACTCACATGATCCTCGTCTGCGGGATCCAAGTTATGAGGTACGTTCATTGTTTCTGTCTTTTTTATACACATACATAAAAATTGAGAGCCTCATACTACTGGGTTTATTACCATATTTCTTTGGGTGGTCATTCTTCTTGTTCGCAATGAAATATATCAACAGCTTGATTAGAAATATCCAGATGAAAGAGTCGATTAATCGGCAGTATAGTATTTTGGAATACATTTATTTGTTTCTGATCAAAACCATGACTCCATGTTACGATTGATAAGTGATTAGGTCGCTAAATATGGCTCCAAATTTAGTTTGTTGTAAATTGTGTTTTATTAATGTGATATCATAAACACTAAAGCTATCAGTTTACTGGAATTGTGATTGCCACTCCAAATGTAGACTTTTTCTGTACACTATGGGCACTAATTGGGGATTATCTTTTGTTTGTTCAAACTTTCATAGATTTAACGAACTGCAAACGGAAGCTTAGTTATTCAGTTATTTAAGATGAGTTTCTGAATTAAGTTCAACATGATCACATTGTGGATCTAAATAGCATAATTTTCACGATCCTACCTACCCGAACTATTTACTTATTTAAACAAACATTGGTGCAAAGAGGTGTCAAACAGATATGCGACACACAAATCATTCGATTTGTGTAAGGGAGGAGATACTACCCGGACTCTCAGACCAAGGCAGGACTTACCCGAACACATACAAGTGGTATTTAGAATAAGTTATCTTGATTCTTAGTTGGTAGAGTTTATATGTAATAAACTACGGAAATACAGCTTTTGATGTATGCACTATTGCCCTCTAGTGATCTAGTTTTTCAATCAATGCGTTAATGATTTTTGCCAGTTTTGATAGAATCATGGGACTTGATTTTCTGATTGACCATTATATTTATCAACATTCACATACTTGTTTTCAAGCTAGACGTGCCATCTTTCAAAATACTAAATTTGTATCTTAAGTAAGTGTTACAGTGACATCTCTTCTAAGGCGTCAATATATACTTTTTCTGCTACTCAAATGCACTAATTATCCCATCGTTATATGTGTATACCTGCGTACAACTATTTGAGCAATGACCTCATATTTTAAATAGGTGACTCTAAATCCAAAATTTCCAAATGTTTACACAGGTTTACCTACTGTAATGTAAAAAGCTCGATAATCTGTTGTATGCCAACATATCACTCACAGTTCATAGTCCATTTAATGTATCTGTACTTAGTTATTGACTTTGGTTGTTGTCATTAAAGTACAAAGGACTTGTGGAAATAAGTTCAATGTTTGTGGAGTTTTGTTCTCTGAGCTGGATGGTTCGGTCTTGGAGCTTTCATCGTTATTCTGGGCGACATCATTATAGAAACTTGACTTCTACCTGAAGTTTTTGCTGATGATGTCGTTTAGAATAACGATGAAAGCTCCATAACCAAACCGTCAAGCTTGGAAAACAACACCAAAATCATCCACCTGAGATTCAAATCTTCACCATCTCATAAATTCAATTTGAAAATAGTTTCTATCAAATTGGTGTATGCTAGAAAACAGGTCTTTTTTTAAATGAGCGACTTATCATAGAAGTATTATGATCTTCAATCCATTATTGATTTCCAATCGAATCAGAGGATAAAGTCCAGTAAACCCATGTACGCTTTACACCTATCAGACCAATGACATGATTTGACTGACGACAATTGACTAGTTAACGTTCGATAAAATCTCTGTTCTTATCAGCTCACCGAAATTCTCCACTTTTAACGATCAGTTAAAATGCCAAGATCGTCAGATAAAGTACCCTTTATTCTAATCTATTTATCATAACTCAGGACATTGCAACATACATTAAATAACTGATTTTACCGAAACATAAAAAAGGAATCCCAATGTGCGCACAATTAGGTCATCACTAAAATAGAGTAATAAATGTGTAATTATTTAACGACACTTTCGGAACGGCAAAACATGTAACGATAGTTAGTAATTGAGATAAGAAAATAATACAACCCAAATGTTTAATATACGTTAAAAATTTGCATTTTATTTCTTCATGGAATGGTTTTAAAAGTTTCACTCTCCCCAAATATCCTCTCATACGTACCAGTATGTGTCAAAACACTGTAATTTTAGTATTTCTAATCTTAGTATAATTTATAGGTTTTCGGTAAGCTTTCTTATGCGAACGTGACTTGGTTAAGGTAACACCTTAGTCCCCAGTCAGTTAGCTGAATGATCCCACCTACGGTCTCATCTATGTTTTACGTTTACCAGCTGTCTACATAAAATAAATAATTTCATGGATTAGGGTGTTATAAAGTCAAAAGTTACGTAAACATGAAGTGGTAATTGGAAGTAAGTTCTCGAAGAACCCCTATATAACAATACTGTCGGTCAGTATACGGTCAGTTGCTTATACTATTGGAGGTTTACGATGACCCAACTTCAGTGGTATGTGTTTCCTCAGCCCTATTCATTATTCATGATATATATATATATATATATATATATATATATATATATATATATATATATATATATATATATATATATATATATATATATAATGCAATGGTAGTGTTAACACTGGTTGGTCCCTGAATTATTATCAAAGTTATTCAATTCAGTCCTCAGCTCTGAGGAAATCCCGTCATCGTAGGTGCAGTGTAATTACTAGATGAAGAAATTAAACTTCACGTCGCGCTTTGTTTCATGTTAATTAGTTGGAGACGATTGGGTAAAATCCTTATATTACTAGACTTGGCTTTCGTGTTGGTTTCTACATATTAACAAGACTTTTTGCGGTTCTAATCTATACCACCCAGTACAGCATTCAGAGGTGATATTACTAAACATAGCCTCCTATCTATTTACCACAATTTTCTATTGTAATTAGGGCTTTTTAGATTCCTAACAATCTACTGAATAGCTAGTTCTTTCGACGAATTAGTAGTCTAAAGACAGTTATTTCGAATTCTAATATAATGCATGTCTTTTCCTAACTACTTAGAATTACGATTAGCTTATTATATTGGCTAGATTTTATTTCTAATACAATGGTCTCAAAAGAGCACGTATGTTGTCACATCATAATTAGTTAAATGTTCGCGCATATAAATTCTAGGTTATCAACCTTTCGGTTTGTGTGTTGTATCTAAAAAGAATATTATGTATTTATGCTAAAATAATTCGTCATTATAAAAATATTTTGAGATGATAAGGAAGATTTGTAGCTCATGTAGATGATTTTGGTGGAATTTTGTTCTCTGAGCTGGATGATGTGATCGTGGAACTTTCGTTCTCATTCTGAACAACGTCATTAAGACAAACTTCAGGTAAAAGTGAGGTATTTGAATCTTTCTACATTTGACTAACAACTTGTTCTGTTGACCTTCATATAGTTAGTTATTGCTGACTTTTAACCTATCGCCTGTATATTTATTTTTTCTCTCTGGCTTGATTTTCAATCCCATAGTTGTCCATGATTTCTGTAATCTATTGATAAATTGATTCTATTTTGATGCGTTTAGTAATTGAGCTGAGTGTCAAGTTCCTTAACGTTCTTAGGTCTTCTCTCTATTCCCTCTGTCCAGGATTTCAATATTTTTACAATCAAATTTGTGTCCAGAATTTTCCACATACATTGATATAAGTGAAGATACATTGTGACGTTTGCCTGTTATTTATTAATAATAGAGTACACAAACTGGTAATTGATTAGTGGCTTAAATTACAACCATCGACTGATGCCGATTTTTACTCCAATAAAATGTTAAGTATCCTCACTGGCTTTCCATCGTTACAATATGTGCCAATGCAGATCAGTTTCCATACGACCTTTTAGATTTGAAGGTTCATAAATGCATCCCAGATATCTCAATCCAAAATGTTATGAACGCCAATCTTTCCAGTATCATTATCTGGTAGTACTATCTTATCTGTATAACCTTAACCGGTTTAATATGTCTAGAGATGTGGATATAGTCATTTATGTACAAGTATTCATACGCTCTTGAATCGTCGGAACATCGTTCAGATACGAAACCTGTTATGCTATTCCATGACCATCCAAGTGTCAGATATCTTTGAAATATAAGATTTAAGGGTTTATTAACTTAGCTTCTTACTTTATAGATAATAGTGGTAGAATAGTAGTACTAATCCCAATCTGATTTACTTACCAAGTACGGGTTTATGTATCTGTCTTTGAAAATTAGTGATCTTGTCTTGGTTGCCAAAACAGAAGGTAAGTAAAGTGCGAAAAACGAACTGTTGGTTAAAAGCTGAGTGCTTTAACCAGAAAGAAAAAAATCAAACTAGAGTAATGGAAAGCAGTCGGTAGGGATTATATCTGGCTCCCTTACCTAAGCGAACACTAGCTAGTTAAAGCACTTCGTCTCGTGTTTCTCATGGACATGACTAACATCCATTTAAAACCATTTCAATTCTAAGATATCGAAAACCGATTCTTATATTTAGTAATTTACGCCAATTTTCGTTCCATCGTAGCAGTGAAATACATAATTTGCAAAATATGGATTACGCCTGTATAATGGAAGTGATTTAACTTCTATATTAAGTCTAAGCTTTCAAAGAGTCCTAAACAACATTTGTTAAAATCATGAAGATTTCTAAATAATCCCTATTACCTATAGGTCTCAAAATAACTTGATTGTTTGCTAGCTTGTTATATTTGAGTAGCTTGTTATTATCTCGATTTGTCAAGTGCTTCATCTCACGTTATTAAAGTCGTGCATCTATAGCTCAGTTACTTACTTATTCCTGTTATCCCTCGTGAGAGCACAGTCAACTGATCAGGACTCTCCAACCAGCTCTATCTTGGGCTCTCCATCCCAGTTGTTTCCAACTGCCACTCTTTTGATGTCTGCCTCCCTTTCCCAACGTAATGTGTTTTCTGGTCTTCCTGTTTTCCTTTTCTCTCCGGGATTCATAAGCAAGGAAGTTTATGCATAGTAACGAGTTCCATTTAATTGGTTGTTCAACAATAATCCGTTGTGTCGCGTTTTGTCGTGTACGCGACCGTTCCTTACTGAATCCAGCTCGTTGATCTCGAAGTTGGGTTTCTACTGAACCTTTCATTCAGCGCAACGAATGCGTTAGCAGTTTAAGTTTTGTATTTTATTATTCATCCTTATAACACCACCATTGACATTCCTTTTCATACTATAGGCTGTTTAGTATTGTAATATGGTTGTTCGGCACTTCTGATATTAAACATTCTCATTGTAAAAATTAGAACATGTGTTCTTCTGATATTACTTAAGCAAGTATTTTCGGATCTTCAATAGTCTATAGATAATAGGATTTAAGACAGCTGTGTAGAAAATTGTAATGGAAGATATAATTTTCTCTAGTTGGATAACTACTGTGTCATGATTAGTACATTTGATCATTAATGATCGTTATCGTTGTATCATCACAATCTATTTAAATTAGAAGTTATCTGTGGCGATTGTTTTATTAATGCAATTTACTAAAAATCTTAGTAAGACCACTGTAAATGGAATAATTCTGAAGATTTTAACTACAAATGAAATATACATGTCCTTAAATTCCGTATTTATTTTCTTTTTTGATAGGTATTTGAAATGTTAACAGATGTAGAATTCTATCCATTTTCCCCACTAATCAGTTCACATATCACTAATGATTGTAATAAAAGCGGTGATCGGAAATCTTCAACTTTTATTGCTTGTGATACTAAATTGACAGATAGTTCTAATGACAATCAGTCACAGTGTGATGTGTCTTTGAATCAAGTCCCTGCTTGTGTAATCAATTCTCCTGGATGTCGAGAACGTTTTCTAGAACATTACGTTGGTGACTATATATTACTGTTTGATTCAGTTTCTCTTACTGAACGACAAGGATGTCCAGTAGGAATTAATTTGTGCACTGGTGAGTCTGGTTTGTTTAACATATCTGCTGGTAGACGTATACCACAAAGTCAAACTTGGACATTACATTGGTGAGTTAAATTTGCATATCATATTCTTGTGTGTAGTTCTATCTAACAGTCTTATTTCATGTTTATTATAAGGTTAGAATTTCTACTAATTTCAGCACCACTGAACTTATGTATAAAAATTGATGTATCATTTCTGTCTGTAAACCAAATTGGGTTAAGTGACCACTTAACAGAATACAGATTGAAATCGTTTATCATTCAAAAGATTTTCCCCCATTAAAATGTTTTCTTGGTTCCAATTTATAAGAAAGGGCGAAAATCCTCTTCTGGCAACTTCCTAGGGATCAGTTTAACTAACATAGTCTGTCAGTATCAGTAATACTTCAACTTTATTTATTTATTTAAACACATAAACATTGTTATAAGGAGGCACTAAATAGATATGCGCCACAAATCAGAAAAGGGAATAGACGAGTGACGCAATATACAATAAAAACGAGTGTTACCAAATAATTTTGAACGCAATTTGTCAGAATGCAAATTGAAGCTAAAATAATTCTTTCTGGATGTAATCATTCGATTTGTGTTTGGTTTGGGATACTCCCCGAGCACTCAAACCGAAGCATGTGGTTCACTTAGTAAGCCACTCCCTAAGTCTTTGACCCAAAGGTCTAATCCACAAGGAAATCGAGCGACGTTAGGAGATGTAGTCTCATGGTAACCATTGACCAACAATGTGTTCATACGCCATTTGTTCCCACAGAAACTTGGATTCTATGTGCTTCGTAGGTTTGGAACCAGGGTTCTACAAGTCCCCTAGGTGGATCCTCTGTTCTCACCAACCCTGTCAAGGCTCTAGATATTCGCTTCTCATCTTCCTAATCTTGTAAACAACGCTCTTCTCATGAAAAGGCATGGAGTGGAACTTCTCTGTCAGTGGTTGTATACGTGTGACCATATGAGAGCACTTCGTGAGGGGAAGCATACTCTCAACCTTCGAGCGTACCAGGGCATTTGAGGGCAAAGCTGCTCCCCCCAAGAAGGACCGAACTCTCAACCCCTGGTTTGCAAGACTAGTGCTCTGACAACTGAGATATTTATGCATATGAGGGCCGTCGAGAGTACGTTGGGTATTCACTTGTTGACTAAGTATACGCAAATGATATAGTTCTGTTTGGCGAAGACGCTGACAAAATGGAACCTTCTCGCCACCTTAAGCAACAAGATTAGCATGTTTGGGACCCGATTCTTTCTCCCTAAGTGCAAAATGTTACTTTACGATCGACCTGGACCATCGCTTGAATTTATGATAAGGAGTGAAGTAGTTAAGCGTGTCAGGTACTTCATTCATCTCGAGAGTCATATCAGTCTCAATGGTTTGGTATTTGATGAAATCTGGGCACAGATTCGAAAGATTCTTTTGGCCTTGATAACTAGCGTCACTTGTGGCGTAGGTGATATATCCGTCTACTAACCAAAAGACAAGTTTATTGCCCAGCAGCTCGGAAAACAGTGTGAATTACAACACACTGGGTTATAAATCAATATTACTAGGGTAGGTTTAGTTTAAGCAAAATCTCATTGAATATTCCCATTTAGGGATTAAAAAATATTTCTGAACACGTAAATGAGGGAGTTAACTTCTGTATACCTAAGTTTTCAGTAAATCTTAGTATGAGCCTCTAGGCCCCTTTATACAACACCACAAAGGCTAATTGATATCAGTTCTATGAAACATCTCAGCCAAATGTTCTAAGCATTACCTGTCATCTAGGGACCATTGAATGAGCAATATTAAGGTTAGACGCAGGGAACTTGGCGAAGATGACAAGTTGATTGATAAAGCAATTACTCCTCATCGAACTTGATGGTCAGAACATCTGTTACGTATGTTTAACCACCGCCTAAATCGAGCGCCGGTGTTGGTTGATGTAGAAATAGTTTAGAAGAAAGCTAGAGGTGACCAAACCAAGATGCGGTATCATTCCATTAAATTACTGAGTCTGAGTCATGTTATTGAATGTAGACCACCTGATTTAGGTTTTGGATGATCAAGGGTTATGGACTGATTGATATGGATCAGAATTGTTCACTATCTAACAAATCCACTCTTCTCGATCTTGAATTTCAGTATTCATATCTTACCGATCTGTCTGTTCAAAACATATTCTTAATGCTCATTCTTTCTGTTTATGATTGCTATTACATAATTTCAATATCTTCTGCCTTTCATCTTGTTAATTCCTATCTCGCTGTACTGATGCGGTGTAGTAACTTGGGCCAACATCTATCTGTTTAAACTCTACATTGATGATAAGTTACATCCTTGTTACTACGTCTTAGTTGGAACCAAAATAAATTTATTGAAATTAAATCTAACGCTTTATTTGTCATGTTTTCATCAATACATTATATGTGAATTATAATAATATAAGGGTAATCTCTCTTTATTTGAATTTTTTCATGTTTTTGGTTTAAAGTTCCGTCCCACTAAACTTTACTTCTTCAGCTAAATCATGCTTCAAACAACATTGCCCAACTAATACAGTAAGTAATCCATTATGTAGTAAACAATTTATTTAGAATATTACTTATACTATCTTATTTTTTTTCCATGTCCTGTCATGTTCTTTCTTTTGGTTAATTATAGCTTTTACGTCTTGAATTTAATCTTCACGTAGAAATTTTAATTAAGTTCACTGAATGTCTCAAACTTTCTGACTATTTCAGAGATATTTTTAGTTTCGATAATGCAATGAGAAGACGTAGTTTATCAGAATTATGCAATGATATATTTGCGCAATACATTTCGAACAATCTGATCACACATATACTTGTTAAGAACATTTATATATGAAAAATTAAAAGGTCAACTAGACAGGTTAAGGGTAAGTCATAACAAAGGAAAAAATATTAAAGTACACAAAAACAAATGTGATTACCACTCTGGACAGTAAATCAGTACTACCAGGGTACATTTGTAAATAAAGTGTTTACATCAAAGGAGCACATTGTCTTTGTCTTTATATTTATATCCTTTAAGTAATTGATTAATTCGAATGAGTCAGTCAAAGAATACTTACAATATTGATTTCTGATAGGGTTTAATAATTTTGTAAGCCATTTTGCCAGGTTGTGTGTAGGTGACCGACACATAGATAGAATTGGACGTAGGGGGGTATTAGGCTTATGAATTTTCGGTAATCCATATAAATTAGGATATGCCGAACCCATAGGTTTTAATAAATTAAACTCATCTTTGTTAATAGCATTCATGTTTAACAATTTCACAAGATTCGAGTTCACTTTCTTTTCTAATTTACGTAATCCATCAAAGTCAACATCAGCCAAAAATTTTGCTTTTATCACTGAGAATGGATTCCATTTTATTTTTGTAATCTGACTTATTCATAATAACAACACCAGATCCTTTATCGGGTTTAAGTATAATAATATCGGCATTATTTCGCAATTCTTTTAATGATTTGAAATGCTGAGAAGTTAATATGCTTCTCTGCTTTGGTCCAGAAGAATGAAAATGATGCGCTATATCCACTAGTTTGGCTTTAAACCAACTTTGATTCTCTAAGGACGAAGGGGTTAAAGTACTCAATTGATCATAGAGGTTTTCAAATTGGGCATTGACTGTCAATTCAGAGATTTGTGTTATAGGAACAGAAAATTTTAAACCCAAGGACAATGCCTCCTTTTCATGAACAGACAATACAATGGAGGACAAATTAGTGACATATTTATCAGGATTGATTGGGAAGGAAGTGAGATTATTATTATTGCAGCAAGATTTTTCTAGCTTTTTCCTTACCCCTTCTTTTGTTTTCAAAATGACAGTACTACAAAAATTGATGAATTTGATATGGCAAACTATAGACAATTCTGTTAATACAAGTAATGCTTGAGTATGAAGTTCGATTAAATTGACCAACTTATCATGGCATTTATCTATATACGATTTCGTCAGTCTAATAAGATTTGGAATATTTGGTTGTAATTTACTTGAACGAAGATTCTTATATAACTGAATCGGGAAAATGTGATTAGATAAGCAAGATTTATAAAAATCCAATTTCACTCGTTCTGATATAATTTTGCACTTGAGGTTAACAAGTTCATCTAACCTTTTAATAATTTGCGTAGGGAGTCTTCTTTTCAGAAATTTAAAACAATTAGTCCCTTTGATAAATTTCGATAATGCAATTTGTACTTACACTTAACCTACCCTGGTAGTACTGATTTACTGTCCAGAGTGGTAATCACATTTGTTTTTGTGTACTTTAATATTATTTTTTCTTTGTTATGACTTACCCTTAACCTGTCTAGTTGACCTTTTAATTTTTCATATATAAATGTTCTTAACAAGTATATGTGTGATCAGATTGTTCGAAATGTATTGCGCAAATATATCACATAATTCTGATAAACTACGTCTTCTCATTGCATTATCGAAATTTATCAAAGGGACTAATTGTTTTATATTTTTAGTTCTTCTTTGAATATCTATGCACTTTCCACTGTTTTTATGCATTTTAAATTATTACCGCTTGTTACCAGAGTTATACTTACTTACTTACTTACTTACTTACGCCTGTTACTCCTCATGAAGGAGCATAGGCCGCTCACCAGCATTCTCCATCCAACCCTGTCCTGGGCAATCCTTTCCAGCTCCTTCCAGTTGTAATTCATCCTTTTCATGTCTGCTTCTATTATCTGACGTAATGTGTTCTTCGGCCTTCCTCTTTTCCGCTTCCCTTCAGGATTCCAAGTTGGGGCTTGCCTCGTGGTGCAGTTTGACGATTTGCGTAATGTATGTCCTATCCATTTCCATCGTCTTTTCCTAATTTCTTCTTCAGCTGGAAGTTGGTTTGTTCTCTCCCACAGAAGGCTATTGCTGTTGGTATCCGGCCAATGGATGTTGAGTATCTTGCGTAGACAGCTATTTATAAATACTTGTACTTTCTTGATTGTGGTTGTTGTAGTTCTCCAAGTTTCAGCTCCATACAGTAGAACTGCCTTGACATTCATATTGAAGATTCTCACTTTGATATTAGTTGGCAGTTGTTGTGAGTTCCATATATTCTTCAACTGTAGAAATGCGGCCCTTGCTTTGAAAATCCTCGCCTTTACGCTTGCATCTGAACCTCCTTGTTCATCGATGATGCTCCCCAGGTATGTGAAGGATTCTATATCTTCCAGAGTTTCGCCATCAAGAGTGATTAGATTGCTGTTCTCCGCTTTGAATTTGAGGACCTTGATTTTCCCCTTGTGTATGCTGAGGTCTACTGATGCAGAGACTGCTGCTACACTGGATGTCTTTATCTGCATTTGTTCATGTGTATGTGATAGGAGGGCTAGGTCATCTGCGAAGCCCAAATCGTCTAATTGATTCTGAGCTGTCCATTGTATTCCGTGTTTTCCTTCAAATGTCGAGGTCTTCATAATCCAGTCGACCAACAGAAGAAAGAGGAAGGGAGAGAGCAAACAGCCTTGTCTGACTCCGGTCCTTACTTGTAATGCATCTGTCAGCTGTCCTCCATGCACGACCTTTCACTGTAGTCCATCGTATGAGTTCCGGATAATATTGACAATCTTCTCATGAACTCCGTAGTGTCGAAGAAGTTTCCATAATGTCCTCCTACCTACACTGTCGAATGCCTTTTCATAATCAACCCTCCTCCTTTACCCGGGCTTGGAACCGGCAGTAACTCTAGAAGAGCTACAGGCGGAGTTCAGAGAGTTATACAGGATAGTACAAATCTGATCATTGTATTATTATGTGTTTAAATGATTTATCTTAATTGCATAGTAGTAATGTCATGTTAAACACAATTGTGTTACTTATATCTTAAAGAGAAAACAACCATTTGAGCACAAAAGCATAAATACATTTTATTTTGTTTGGTTCTCTTCAGCTACTTACAACCTATGATGTTTAAAAGTCATAATTACAAAACCGTTATAAATTACTGACATGAAAGAGTTTCGTTGGAATTTTCTTTGAAGACACATCAGTATACTATAGTAAGAATGTAAATAAATTTAATAGACTGAATATTATAAATATATACCGTGTTAAACAACGTTCTACAACACTGATTGTAACAAAAGTCAAAAGGGTTAGGAACAATTGATTACGTAAAGAACAAACGCTGATAATAAATAAGAATAAAATAAGTAAAGCTCAGTTAATTAAAATAAGATTATTAATCTAGAGGACAGTTGTTAGTGGGACATAGACTAGATTAAAGCATGCTCAATGCATGATTGCTTTGGTGCACGCTGATTGGCTGATTCTTATCCAACCAGCACTAGTCGATAGTTGGAGAATACTCTGGAATCTTCTTATGTAAAAACTATAAATATACTGACGTTTTCCCTATTGTGCTTCTGACTTGCTTCTGACTTCCATCTAACCTTGTTATTTGGAATATAATCTCCTTCCTGTTCAACCGTGTTCTGATTTAGGGACTTGTCGAGTGAATCGGTGTCCAGGAATACTAAGCAATAAGAATAGCTGGGTCATTACCGTAAGAGAGAGAGAGTTATAACAACAGTCGAAATAAAAAGATGTAATAATGTAATTAGTTGAAAGAATGAGTTTTATGATGTTATAAAGGAATATTTGTCACTAAGGAAATGAAAAATTAACAACCATTTCCTTGTGAACATGTTAATCAGGTTTCTGATGCTCGATAGCAACGGCTTCAGAAAACTTCAGTAGACAGGTGATTGACTGTTTATTAATCAAGTTTATTGGACCACAAGGTACCTAATATCCTATATCCAAGAGATGTTTAGTAATTGTTCTATTTGAAATAGTTCTTCCCAATCCAAAAATCTAAAATATCCCCTTCTTTCTGTTCTGCCAATGTAGCTGTTTTTGTAGGTATACTTAAATTTGTAAACACAGTTGGCGGTAACATGAAATGGGTACTTTTGTACCTTTGATTGGGTTATTCAGTATGTTGTTTTATACAGTATTAATAGTTTGATTGCTGGGTAAGTTCTTTATCCACAAGGATTTTCATAAATCTCTATCGTAAGCTGATAAACAAACAACTAAATTTAGCGTTTTTTTATTAACGTAAGCGATCCGATGTCGTATATACTATGTTTTTGAGGGTATTTGATTAGTTGAAATAGATAGAAGGCTATGTAATTGGGTTTCGTGCTAACCCGCCAATCGTCATTGTAAAGATATTTAAAACAATTAGTCCCTTTGATAAATTTCGATAATGTAATTAGAAGACGAAGATTATCAGAACTATGTGATATATATAAAATTAAAAGGTCAACTAGACTGGAAATGGGGTAAGAGGAGATAATGATAAGAGTAATGATAATAATAATGTGAACACAATTCGAAACCTAATCACTCTGGATAATAAAACCAACATGGACAGATCATTATCTTAATTATTATAGTTATTGCCCTGTGCAGTACAAACGTGGTTTGATAAGGTGTCTTCTCAACAGACTCGATCTCATTTGTACAAACGACACCATTGATGATGATGTTAATTTGTTAAATAAAACGTTAATAGAAAATGCCTATCCTCTGAAATTCATAAATAAATGAAAAGTTCATGGTACAATAAGACCTACTATAGCTTTAGCAGAGAAAAAGCCTGTCTACATCACCTTACCGTTCAGAGGTGATTCAAATAGCCTTTAATTGAAACAAAGACTTAAATCAGTCAATAGGTTTTAACCTATTGCGCAACAAAGGTCATCATCAAAGAAAGAACAAGGTGCATGCTTCATTCAAAACCTAAAGTACATGGAAACGATTGCATCACATCCCACTGTGTTTACCAATTTAAATGTGTGTGTGGTCACACATACATAGGGAGGAGCAATCGTGAGTGAACATGTACCTAGATGGTTGCAGAAACAAATGCAATCGGCTGACCCAATAAGAGCAGAGGATAAACATCCATCATCCCCTATTGCTAAACATATAATTGAAACAGGTCACAAGATTGATCTAAGGTTTATTGAAGCCTTAGTCATAAGAAAATTCGAACTCCCTTTGTGTGTTCAAAAACAGCTTGTTCTTACCTTAAACCTACCCTGGTAATATTGACTTATTATCCAGAGTGATTAGGTTTCGAATTGTGTTCACATTATTATTATTATTATTATTATTATTATTATTATTATTATTATTATTATTATTATTATTATTATTATTATTATTATTATTATTATTATTATTATTATTATTATTATTATTATTATTATTATTATTATTATTATTATTATTATTATTATTATTATTATTATTATTATTATTATTATTATTATTATTATATTATTATTATTATTATTATTATTATTATTATTATTATTATTATTATTATTATTATTATTATTATTATTATTATATTATTATTATTATTATTATTATTATTATTATTATTATTATTATTATTATATTATTATTATTATTATTATTATTATTATTATTATTATTATTATTATTATTATTATTATTATTATTATTATTATTATTATTATTATTATTATTATTATTATTATTATTATTATTATTATTATTATTATTATTATTATTATTATTATTATTATTATTATTATTATTATTATTATTATTATTATTATTATTATTATTATTATTATTATTATTATTATTAATTATTATTATTATTATTATTATTATTATTATTATTATTATTATTATTATTATTATTATTATTATTATTATTATTATTATTATTATTATTATTATTATTATTATTATTATTATTATTATTATTATTATTTATTATTATTATTATTATTATTATTATTATTATTATTATTATTATTATTATTGCTCTTATCATTATCCTTATCTCCTCTTACCCCGTTTCCAGTCTAGTTGACCTTTTATTTTTATATATATCACATAGTTCTGATAATCTTCGTCTTCTAATTACATTATCGAAATTGTAAAGATAATCGATTCTCTCTCGATTGGATACACACCATTTTGAAGAGTGATAGCTAACACAAAATTGATGATCAAGGCTTCCTGTCAATGGCTTACCACCATTTAACATGTACTCTAACCGTGTTGTATAACTCAAAGCTTTAAACAATTATGTACATATTATGAAATAATTTCTTTTTCTAAACTTCTCTCATTAGAATAATGTAAATTGTAGTGAAGAATTTAAAAAGTTAACAAGTCAAAATTCAAGTGTTATTGCAAAAAATACAAATTCAACTTGCCTTGTCCTATCACCATGTCTTTCAAATTCATCGGAATATTCCTCTTCCTTTTTTTCATCATCATCATCATCTTCTTCTTCTAGTGATCCTGTAAAGAGTAAATCAAGTGTACAAACATCCATAACAACCAATAATAATAATAATAATACAGACAAACACATATCTGATAATCGATGTGATTCATACTTCACTAGTGGTCCAAATTCAACTTGTCAAAATGAATTTCAATTATCATTAAATAATGATGAATTAAATGAAGCTAATTCTAAATATACTAATAATTATCAATCAACAGTTAAACGTCATACTCATAATAAATCAAGACAAATCTATGTTATGCGACATGCTGAACGTGTAGATATTAGTTTTGGTCATGGATGGATTACTCAATGTTTCAATCATAAAGGTATGCTATATTCATCTTCATATTAGTTTCATTATATTTTAATTAAGTTTCTATCATGTTTGTTCTAGTACTTACTTACGCCTATTACTCCCAATGGATCATAGGCCGTTGATCAGCATTCTCTAACCTACTCTGTCCTGGGCCTTCCTTTGTGTGTCAGCTCTAAACAAAATGTCACCCGCCTAGAAGAATTTCTTTGTTAAATCTATGTAACCTCATTTTGATAGCATTGCCTTCAGTGATTTCTTTAGTCATCCTTTTTCATCATATCTTCAATTGTTTGAGTTCTTTTCAAAATAATCATCTTTTTTTTCTTTGTAGGAGTTTATCGTAGATTTAATTTAAACCTCCCACCTTGGCTACCTACTCGGACGGATTGTCTTGAATATATTTTAGATTCACCGATTACCCAAATTGGTTTATTTGTATCAGCTGAAACAGGTCGCGCTTTGGCAGATGCTGGAGTTTATTTCACAGCGTGTTATTGTTCTCCAGCGTTTCGATGTGTTCAAACTGCTTGTGAATTATTAAGAGCTATGGGTCGTGTAGGTGTCTTCTTGTTATAATGTTTAAGTTCATTATATATTTACAATATGAGCCTTATCTCGTTACGCTTTGATGTATATATTTATATATTTAATTCTTATATAATAAATATTTGATACAGTAATCCACTAAAAGGCTAGAATCATTATAATTAGGTTTTATATATTGCGCGTATAATCACGTAGAGCAAGAGAATATTTGTCCTTTTAAACTTTACATTGTTATTAAATAGACTTGTCTAAACTTCTTAGTTACATTTGTCGATTAAATAATATCACTTTTTGTAAAGAATAGTAGTGCTTGAAGTCACTAACTTTTAGTCTGAGTGATGTTGGGAGATGCAGGCTTCGTGGTTGGGATCCGTGTGACTATCGTAACCAATGGTTGGAGACTCTTGGTAACATGGCTCAGAATCGATCACAATGGCGTCGGTGTATACACTCTCTGTCTTCCCCTAAACTAAGAGATTAAAATTACTTTATACCCTTCTTTCTACCAACTAATTCTTTCTTCCTGCACTATATCCTTATATTCAATCTTTCTTTTATACATTACCACCACTGAATTAACTACTTTTATGAATCCGGTGTTCATCTTGTTGTGTTAATGAGGTATGGCAACTTGGACCGATGCATATATGTGCCTGGTCTTACTTTGTAGCTAACTGACTTATCCATCAATCGATCCTGTTTTACCTATCACTTAATAAGTGAATAGTAACTCGCATCATACAAAGTCAAGTTAAGTTTGATTGTGTCTTATTCTAAGATTATTCCCCAAAACTGTAAAATATAGTGCTTTGTGTTAAATTCGCGTAAACTATTAAATTGTTGAATTTTTCATCTCGATGTCATTGAATATCTTAGTGCTACTTGTTATATACTACTGATTTATACTCTTTCTGCTATCACATTATGTTCGATTATAGCTTTTAATCATAATGCATAATAACTTGATCCTTAATATTCATGAATTATTACTTGTTCTACGTACACACTATTATGGAATTTTTTATCCCTGGTAAGAGTGAGTCTCATGCCGTTAATACTAATACCCACTGTTTACAGATACGATGTATGCTTTGATTAATCCACACAAATTCATCTCCCCTTAGTCTCCCGATTAAAACAAAATGAAGGTCACCCAATACACCTTTTATTGCATAAATCAAAAACACATTTTATCTATCAATCGCAAGACAACGGAAATTACAGTATGTTCAAAACTAGGTCTTCTAAAATACAAAGCTGAATAACAGGTACACACTAAACGTATTGTAAGATGGTGGTTGAACGTAGCCAACAGGAATCCCTGAACCTAAGTTTCGTGCTACTTGACACTCTTTAGCAAGATGTGTCTATAATCTTGAGGGAACTGATGCTATCTGATGGATTCGATCCCGTTTCACCCAGCTTCACAATCAGAGACGTTACCACTGAGCTATCTGGGTCGCGGCCGACTTTTCGTAGGACTGAGGTGTGACACAGTATTGAATCCGATACTGTTATTTTGCATAATGCAATCGATTTCTCCTGCCCAAGTCTTCGTTCACCATATATATAATACTCCACGTTTGAATTTAAATAAATTAGCTGTTGTCTATTGAGAATATCTTATATTGTAATTTTCAATTATGCTGATTTATTAATTTACTAAAACATACAAGGGGCACCAAATATTTATGCGCCACACAAAACATTCGATTTGTGTGAGGTCTGGGTTACTGCCTAGGCCCCCAAACCGAAGCAGGTGGCTTTCTTAGGAAGCCACTCTTAGAGCATTTGACTCAGAGGTCTAATCTACAAGACAACAGAGGAACCTTAAATCTAGTCCCATGGTAAACACTGATCAATAATGGGTTCATGCGCCACCATGTTCCGTGTGCACCACTGATTTGGAATCAGGGTTTTAGAACTCCCCTAGGTGGATCTTTTATACCCATCTTCCCGGTATAAGCACCAGACATTCTCTGTTCATCCTCTCGACTTCGTAAACAACACACGACAAGAAGACTGATCAAGAGTTCCCTGGTACGTGTTAATACTTATTCTTTTTATTTTTGCGACTGCATATAAAACTGTGACGAGTATTGTGATTTAGCCGCATTTCTCACACTCTCATTCTCATTTTGTTTAAATTTGTTAATAAATGGACTACTGAAAATTAATCTGTCTGTCCTTTTATTCTATGAAATCGTGACTTATTGATTCAAACATTTGTCTTTGAATCATGTCATCATAAATGTGTTCTTCACTGTGTATACGGGGTCGGTTAGTATGTATAGCTCAAAAAGACAAAGAAATAAAAAAAGGAGTTTATTATTGTGATTGTGAATTAATATACACTATTATATATGGCGGATGAATTAAAATATCTTCCTCTCTCTGTGGTATACCACTGTACTATGGTGATAAGACTGAACTAAGTTTATAATACCGCTAGATTGGATACTCGAACGTCAAACAATAAATAGACTAGATCATGTTAAGCCGGATATACTATTTACGACCGTGAAGAGAGAACCGGAGTAACGCAAGGTAATAATTTACTCTTTTTATTTATTTAAACACATAAACATTGATACAAGGCGGCACTAAGTAAATATGCGCCACATAAATCATTCGATTTGTGTGAGGGCTGGGATACTGCCCAGGTGCCCAGACCGAAGCAGGTGGTTTTCTTAAGGGGTCACATCCCGAACCTTTGACCTAAAGGTTTGACCCACAAGGCAATGAAGCATCGTGAGGAGATGCAGTCTCATGGTAGCCGGTGACCAACGATTGGTTCATACGCCATTTGTTCCCGCAGTATACTGGAGTCCATGTGCACCATTGGTTTGGAATCCGGTTAAAGCGTCGGACATTCGCTTTTCGTCCTCTGAATTTCGTAAACAACAGCGATGCCACGAGAAGGCAGTGAGTAGGACTTCCCTGGCAGAGGCTGTATACACGTGGCCGTTTGTGAGCATTTCGGGAGGGCGGGCTCACCTCACTCTCGGTCATACCAGGGCATTTGGGGGCAATAATAGTTTACTCGAAACAATTGCAAATGGTTTCATTCAGTGAGTCCTAAGTAGAAATCATTAAGAGGTAAGAAAATCACATATTTTAGTTGTCAGTAAATTGAGTGTTTGTTTATACACACTCAGTGACTGATCACATTTACTCTTATTACAACACATCACTATTACAGTGTGAGTTTATATACTTTAATTCGATGTAAAACTCAAAATAATAAACAATACAATCAAGACCTAAAACTTTATATTTCCCATTGAAATATAAGTCACTTTGTGAATATCTTGTGTGATATACTCATAGATCTTTATTACTGTTTGTAATCATCTTTAAGATTGAAGAATTCATGTTTATAAACATTTTTGTTTATGTATTTGATCTTCTTTCATTGACTTATAATTTTGTTGTCACTTTATAGTCGGATTTATCAATTCGTATAGAACCACATTTATTCGAATGGTATGGTTGGTATGTTGGTGGTTGTATACCAAAAATGATGACTGTACATCAATTGAAACAAGCTGGTTATAATGTAGATACAAATTATACATCACTTAGCTCATACAATGATAATGATAAATATGAATCTATTCAAGGTTATTGTGATCGTACTGCTGTGTTAATTAAGCGTATTTTAAATGTTCATAAGTCGAAAGGTATGTTTTTTTGTTTTTAATAATTTTTAAGTGTATTTTTATGTATATATATATGAACTAGGCGGGATTACCTTCCATATATCACATATCTAATGTATGTTTGGTATTTGGTATCTGTTCGTTTCCAAGGTATATGTACTAAAAGGATTACATATTGTTAGATTTATATTATTATAATATTTCAACTCTAGTGGTAAGAACATGTGAATTCAATCAGTCGATTATGGTTAACTTGAATGCATACTTGATAGTATGGCTTAAAGAAAAGTTAGACATTAACACCGTTGGATACCGGCTCAGTGGTCTAATGGTTAAGTGCTCGCTCGCGAAACCAGTGGGTCCTAGGTTCGAATCCATCGGAGTCGTGGATGCGCACTGCTGAGGAGTCCCGTATCAGGACGAAACGGCCGTCCAGTGCTTCCAAGTTTTCCATGGTGGTCTAGCTTCAATTGACTCATGATTTCAACTTGTGAAATAATATTAGGTATATTGAACATAGCTTTATTTTCGTGGTAATCTAGTAACGGAGCTAGGTTGTAATCAAGGCATTTCGATTTCGCAATAAACATCCATCATTGTATCAGATGCGTTTTTGTGGAGATTGTAGTAATTTCAATGGTTAAGATCATGAGTCAGTTGAAGCTAGACCATCATGGAAAACCTGGAAGCAGTGGACGGCTGTTTCGTCCTATTGTGGGACTCCTCAACAGTGCGTATCCACGACCTCGCCCCCTGCGAGATTCATTTTCTTTATATCTTGTTAATTTATTCAGAACATTTGACGGTAATTCTTTCACGTATTTATTTCAGAATAAGTAGTGACATTCGAATTATTACTGATATTATATACAATTATTGTAAAACTAGATTGAAAATGTTTGTCTTTCGAACCAGTTACATGTCTTCATTTTTTCGATAGTATTTGGTCTACTATGAAATAATCCTTTCCAGAAATCACTCATATACATATATAATTTGAAAAATAAGATCTACTGGAGATCGAAATAGCGTTGGTCAGTTAGTTCGTTTTATCTCAGGACTCTTCATCAATGAACGTATATAACCGCTAATGAGATTTAACTAGTGTTGGAGACGGTTTGGAAGAAAGTTAAAGGGTGATCAAGCCAAAACGTAGCGTCAGTCATCGAAGTCACTAACTTCTGATCTGAGTCATGTTAGTAAATGCAGATTACTTGGCTGCAGTCCGCATGACTATCGTAACCAATGGTTGTAGACTCTGTGTGAAATAGCTCAAGATCGATGACAATGGCGTAGGTGTATACACTCTTTGTATTTCCTTAAACCGTGAGATTATAATTACTGTATACCTTTCTTTCTATCAACTAGTTCTTTGTTCCTGTATCATATCTTTGTACACAATCTTTGTTATATATATTACTACCATTGAAGTAACTACTTCTATAGATTTGATGTTCATGTTGTCGTGCTAATGAGGTGTGTCAACTTTGGTCGATGCATATATTTGCCTGATCCTACAGTGTAACTGACTGACATTAACTCAGGACCTACATATTTCTCAAGGAACATGATTTGTCCACTAAGTTATAGTTCAGTATTCCATATTTTGAGCTTTTCATGTAGCAATAATTTCACTTTCTCATTAACTCCAGTAGAAAAATAACACAAATTACTGTGTTCGTTCTCAGAATAGTGGAAATTTATTATGACAATTTGATTAGGCTATGAGTTTATACTTCTTTTTTCTTTCAGAAATATATTGAATAAGAAAATACTTACTTACGCCTATTACTCCCAATGGAGCATAGGCCGCTGACCAGCATTCTCTAACCCACTCTGTCCTGGGCCTTCTTTTCTAGTTCTATCCAATTGTTGTTCATGCTTCTCATATCTGTCTCCATTTTTCGGTGTAATGTTTTCTTTGGTCTTTCTCTCTTCCATGTGAAGGCTTGTCTTGTGACGCAGTTGGGTGCTTTCCTTAATGTGTGTCCTATCCACTTCCAGCGCATCTTCCTAATTTCTTCCTCCGCTAAGATCTGGTTTGTTCTCTCCTATAGTAGGTTGTTACCGATACTGTAATGTGTTGAAAACGGATCCGAAGTATTTTGCGTAGACAACTATCAATAAACACCTGTATCTTGTAGATGATGGCTTTCGTAGTTCTTTAAGTTTCCGCCCCATACAGTAGAACTGCCTTGTCATTATAATTCATTCTTGGACTAAACTTTAAACATGGTTTATTAATCAACCCTCTTTTTTAAGCGTTCGTTTCAGTAGTTTTTACATCAAGTTATTAAATATTCGATGAGACTATAATTTATGGACGACCTTAAGGTGATGCTGAGGGTTATCAAGCAGTTAGAATTCTCATTTACAGTTGATGGTTAAGGTTAAAAATTAGATTTAGGGTTTTTATCACGAACTGACATCAGCTATAATGCTAAAACTCTATTTAGTCAAATGTATGGATGAATTCCGTGCCCAACTTCGTGACCTTTTATTGTATATCTGTTTGGGTTCGTCTATAAATTTTAGTCTCGCCAAATATTCAATTGTTAAGTAATAAAACGATTGAGTCCAATAGCTTATTCATTATGAATATTCATATCTCAACAATACAAAACTCATAATATTCTATTCTACTTTTAATTTTGATTCATTTATTTTTTTCTTTTTAGATACTTGTTTATTAATTGTAGCCCATGCATCATCATTAGATACTTGTACACGTCATTTAGTATGTCATAAATTTAGAAATAATTTATCATCAAATGAATTTCATCATCGTACATCAATTGTACCATATTGTGGTTTATTATTAGCACAAGAAAATCGTCGATGGAATTTAATTAATCCACCAATACCAAATTCATGTTCATATACAAGAAATATTGATTTTGATTGGAAACAATTACTTGGACCATCATTATGCAATTTTAAATTAAGATAAATAATAATAATAATAATAATGAATTTTTTATTCTGGTTAGCGTTGTTTTTTAGCGAATTGGTTTTCTACGGGATGTGGCCGCTAACATCATGCCCAACTCTCCTCTTTTATCCGAGCATGGGACTGGCAGTAGCCCCCGGAGGGACTCCAGGCGGAGTAAATAATAATAATACTAAAATGAATTATAGAAAATAGAATTTAATTCTTTTATTCATTTATAAATCTGCATTTTAATTCAATTTCTTCTGAATTGCCATTTTATCTCAAGGTTTTACATATCGTTTTTTTCTTTTCTTTTTTTTTTGTTTATTTTGTTTGTTTTCTATTCAATTTGAATACAGCTTCATATCTGTGTTGTTATTTTCTTTCTTTCTTTTTTTTGTTGTTTTTGTTGTTGCATTTATTCATTCTTTTGGTGTATCCTTTATTTTTTTTTGCCCAATATTTTCAATTATCTAGATCTCATTGAATACCTTTAAAATGAAAATTATACATGAGTAACATTTTGTGTATACAGTTCACATATTATTATTATTTGTTTATTGGATCTGTATAAATCTGATTGTTTACTTTCAGAATGTTGTTCAAGGACTTGACTTAAAGTTTACAATGTATAGTACATTTGATTAGATGAAATGTGTTATACAGTTATAACTATATAATTTATAATGTTTCTTTTGGTACTTGACAAATCTATTTAAAAAGAAAAAATGTATCTATTTAATAATTTATATTTAAAATAACCGCCAATTTCATTTGTTCAAAAATTAATTTTATTCCGAGTATTTGAAAAATGAAACAAACTATTTAGCTGAATTTATTTAGTAGAAATATGGATTAATATATTAAACGAAGAATATTCAAATGCCCTGGTACAGCCGAGAAAGAGGAGAGTCCGTTCTCCCTCTCGAAATGCTCTCATATGACCACGCGTATATAGCCTCTGCCAGGGAAGTCCTACTCACTGCCTTTTCGTGGTGAAAATGTTGTTTACGAAAATGAGAGGATGTAAAGCGAATGTCCGGAGCTTTAACCGGATTCCAAACCAAATCAATGGTGCACATGGGCTCCAGAATCCTGAGGGAACAAATAGTGTATAAACCAATTGTTGGTCACCGGCTTCCATGGGACTGCACCTCCTTACGTTGCCCCACTGCCTTGTAGATCAAACCTTTAGGTCGGAGGCTCCGAGTGTGGCCTAAGAAAACCACATGGTTCGGTTTGGGCACCCGAGCAGTATCACAGCCCTCACACATATCGAATGAGGTTTGTGTGGTGCATATGTATTTGGTGCCTTGTTGTACCAATATCTATGTATTAAAAATAAATAAATTCTTTTCAGGTTCCTATAATTCATATATCCAAATGAATAATCCGGAAAAAAGGTAGTCAGGTTAAGGAGTGAAAGTACGTCGTTTAAATTATGTGAATTTATGATTGTGATAAACAAAATACAATAAATTTTTTAATGTTGATATTGTCTCAGATAAAATGTTAACTTGAATCGGCATATATTTATGAAGTGAAAATTTGAAGATCCATGATCAGAATAAACATTGAATCAAATAGGTCTGAAAGAAATAATAATGAAATTACAATTCGATCAAATGTTTAATAGAAGGTTATACTTTATACTTTGCCTTTAACCGGAACATTTTTCGGATTATTCATCCGAATATATATGAGTTGTAGAGAACCTGAAGAGAATTTATCGAAAAGAATATTCTTTATTCAAATATGAATCTTTTAATATGATGGGGATCTTTAAAGTATTAATATTAGTCTATTAAAAGAAGAGTATAACTTTTCTTTTCATTCAAATGTATATGCAAATTCCTACCGTTGTTATATTTCTATTCTCTTTATTTTCAATCTATTCCAGATTCATTTTTGCTCTTGTTCCTCTTTATTTATGATCAACGTATGTATAATCACACAGAATATTTTCTTTTTTTATTGATGAAGATGTAACCTGTTGTATATTCCATAAGTGAATGGTTTTGTATTCCGTTAATGAATAAGTCAATAAATTAACTGTTTATCTCGGTTCCTTTTAATTTTTTTGTTTTTAGTTGTCCTATGTGTGATCATTATCATTAGATTTTTGAAGTTCTGTTTACTTTGTGTGTGTGTGCGTGTATTCGCCTGCTTACAGTTTTATTGTGTTGTTTATCATATCTGTTTTTATTACGGATCTGTTCCTGGATTGTATACCTATATCGTAGTTTCTTGATTTTGTTATACGTTGCTATATGTTCATTTTATTTTCTTGTATGAATGATACAGAAATTTTAAAGTGTATTATCAAAATTTTCCTACTGATTATTGTATACTTTATTCTTGCTAGAAATCGCTGGAGATCTATTCTCTGTACCAATAATTGTAAAGTATTCATCTTGGTTAGCGGAAGGCTGACGTTATTAAATAAACAATCTGGATGAACGAATCAATACAACTCCTTTCCTTTATTACTCTCTATCACATATAGTTTTAACTTCAAATAACTCTACTAGTTACACTAGGTAATATAGTAATACTATAGCGAGCTTACCTAATACCAAACTACTTTAGTATCGAAGTTTGCTTGTTTAACGTTAGTGGCAATAAAGTGTTTGAATAAATATTAATACAATATAGACAAGTTTCGAATTCAAACCAGAACACTAATTCTGATTCAGAACAGTTTTATTTATACATGTCGACTTCATCTGGATTGTTTCTGAAGTTGATCTAACTGGAGACTTATGATCGCTAGAAACAAGCTAGAGTTCAGTTGTACATTAGTATCATTGTTATGATACTTTGAACCAGATAGCACAAGTAGAAGTCGCCTATAAATGCTAACGGTAGTTTTTTCTCAGTATACTATTCACCTGTAAACGAACCAAATGGCCAAATAATATTGTTTGGAGCTGATCGAGTAACTGTTGACCCTGGACATAAAAAATCGCGACTGACTAACGTGCAAATTGGAACCTGTAGGACTCCAATATGTAATTGATCCAGAACAAATATTATAATTGAGATGTATTGTAGCTTGACAACAATACCAAATAATCAACTATTTTGAATGGTCCTGAAATGTGTAGATGGATGCTAAGTCGACTGCAGTAAGTATTCATAATTGGTCATACAACTGTGGAAAGAATGTGAGTAAAGTTTTATACGTGTAGCACACAATTCAGGGCAAACCATCCTTGAACATTATATAAATGGTTACAAAAATGTATGAGTATAGAACTGAATGAACCAAACTGAATTGAAATAGCAATAGAACTGGAATAATATAACGATCAGATTTTTGGATTTCTATCGATAGTGGCACCAAAACTTACCAGCAAGTGTATTAGAATAGGAATGAAACTGAGAATAGAAAGTCTAGCAACTGCCTTATAGTAAATAAAAATCCAGTACTGCATTAGGCCGGCCTAGTGTCAATTGCATTGTCATGAATTTAAACTGTCCAGAATGTTATCTAGTCATCGTGTCTCAAATATTTATTAAGAAGTATAATAGTATAGGGGTTGTGGAGATTATTAAGTTTTTGATTGAGATCATGAACCGATTGATGTTAGACCATCACAATTGAAAACCTGGAAGCACTGGACGGCCGTTTCGTCCTATTGTGGGACTCCTCAGCAGTGCGCATCCACGATCCCGCGAGCGGGATTCGAACCCAGGGCCTTCGGTCTTGCGCGCGAACGCTTAACCAACTGGACCACTGAGCCGGCATCCAATGGTGACAGTTTCGTGGATTGGTTGATGTTAGAAACTGTCACCATTGGATGCCGGCTCAGTGGTCCAGTTGGCTAAGCGTTCGCGCGCAAGACCGAAGGCCCTGGGTTCGAATCCCGCTCGCGGGATCGTGGATGCGCACTGCTGAGGAGTCCCACAATAGGACGAAACGGCCGTCCAGTGCTTCCAGGTTTTCAATTGTGATGGTCTAACATCAATCGGTTCATGATCTCAATCAATAAGAAGTATAATGAAATGAAGGGATAAAAAGGCACATCTATACAAGGTGATATAGGTAGCATGTAAATGAAAGCTATCCGAATTGTTTACATAATAGAGCATAATATTACCGTTATATGTAAACCGTCATTTACTCAGTCAGATATCGTTTTTCAAAATAAATACGCAATTATGCAGATTTGACATTTCAGCATTAAACACCAGATTGGACAAATCATAAACCATGCTAAATATCTGAAACTTCGCCAACAGCCCTCCGAAGGCTACTGTCTATCCCAACCCCGGGTAATTGAAGATGGTTGTGCATGAAGTAAGCAACCCTATCCCGTAGAAAAAACATTGCTAATAAAGCTTTAACGAGGAAGATCTTCTGCTGACAACAATATATCAGTTTCAGTTTTGAAAAGGCAGGAGGCTTGATGGCCTGTGTTAGTCCTGGCAATGGTGGTCTCTCAGTTGATCCAACTTTCTTTTGAAAGAGTCGACGGATGGAGCCTCAACCACGTGCTGAGGTAATGAATTCCACTCGTTGATGATTCGATGGGAAAGTCGATAGTCAGCTGACAAGTAACTTCTTCTGAGCTTGTGAACTTTTTTGCAGTGTCCTTGTAAATTCTCTGTTTTGGAAGACAAGAAAAATGAGGGCATATCAGGTGCAAATTTATCACTAAGCAATTTGAAAACTGTAATCAAGTCGCCTCTAGTTCTTCGATGTGACAACGGAAAAAGGTTCAGCTTGGCCAGTCGAGCTTCATACGGAAGCTTCGCTATTCCGGGAATCAGCTTAGTTGCCGTTCCCTGAACCTTTTCCAAAAGCTCACTGTCTCTTTTTAAGCAGGGGCTAGCCGCTTGTATATAGTACTGAAGTTTAGGACGTACGAACACTGTATACAAAGTCAAAACTGTCTTAGCGTCGACATGACTAAAAGCCCTACGTATTGACGATAAGGTTCTAAAACTTTCGCGCTAATGCACGTCAGTGTGCAGTAGTCTTTAAGTCTTGGCTAACGATGACTCCTAAGTTA